CTCGTTATTTAGAATTTATTGCGAAAATAATACCTTGCTTCGATGATGTCGGTGCTATGATGGACGTAAGCTTGGAGATCGTCAGCTCGGGGACAGCGCCAACTAGAATGTTCCAGCGGGGCTAACCGATAGCTGGCCAAGATGAATTTGCTGTTATCTTCTAATGGGATCGATCTGCACGGAGCTCTTCATCACACACATTTTTACTAAAAATGTAATCCTGCCAAATAATAGCAAACCTGGAGCTTACTCGAAATTCATCTTTTATTCTTATCTACCTGTGCTGTAAGTTACGGAGGATCAGATGAAAAATGTGTAGATAAGCGTCCACCCAAACTTTCTCTAGAAATGACAGGGGCAGTATCACGAAGCCAGTAAGATATTTTACCGAACCCAGCTTGGGCATCTCAGCGAAGAAGGTGGGAACTTATGCGGATAAAAGTCATCATGGCATGGACTAAAAAGACCTATCGATAATATGGTCAACTTGTTATTTCATTTTTAAGTCATTTTTCATTGTGGCATTTTAGCCTCGGGTCAGTTTTATTGCAGCCAAAACACTTTTAAAACGTTTTCTGGGCAATAAAACCCTACAGCAATATGCAATTAAGACGATAATTTTGGCGACCCTAAATTTTCTCAAACCCAGCCGAAGGTGGATCTTTGCCTCATCTTTCGTCCATCCTCGTCCGGTAAGTTAGCTCATCCAGGTGTGAAGCTTGGATATCGTCAGAGCTGGAACTCATTCTTGCAAAAGTCTCAAGTTAACGCTAAGACAAGGCGACTTTTCGGCTCTATCCTACATGTTCCATGTACTCAAATACAAAACGAACATATATGGCTATAGGTAGATAGATAGATAAATAGATAAGCAGGTTGATTGATTGATGGGTAGGTAGATAGATTGATGACTAGTTCTATTTCATGCTAGTTATGGTTCTTTTACTTTAGTGTGCCTTTTTGTGCCTGTCCGCTTTGATAAATCTCTTAAAATAACATCGTCATGAAAGCTTTCTCTTCATATGCGATTTATTTATTCTATTTCGTTTAAGGTGATTAAGGACAGATAGTTGAATTTTCCCACAATTTAATGAGTAGACCGTACGTTTCCAATGAATCTCATATACGAATCTCACATAGCCTTGCGTCCCAAAAGGTATTATTATCCAGGCAGGAGTGGACTGCGGTTTTCAATTTCGCCTAGGTCTTATCAACACCACAGTAAGTCTCGAAGTATGATAACGCAACACATAAGCTCAACATGTCAACCATTACACCAGAGAGCAAAGAGTGTCCTTGGACCACAGGACAGATGTGACTTTCAAGAAAGGCTAGCCCTTTTCCCATATCACATTATTTGGTAGGACTGTCGATGAAACGAAGCTGCATTTGCTATAGCAATCGACATTACTATATTTTTTCTTTTTTATAAGCAGGTTTCTAGTCTAACATAGATAATATATACATTATATGTATTCACCCTATTTGTTTAAGGTGATATGGCTATGTGAAATTCAATAGGAAGATGAGATATATTAATATTATTGTGGGAAAATTCAGCCATCAGTCTCCTTATCACCTAAAACGACAGGGCGTAAATACATCTCATATACATTATCTACTATTAGTCTCGAAAACCTGCTTATAAATCTTTCTTTTCATATAAATTAAGTGATGAGGAGATTTATATGTCGAACTCACCGGAAGATAATGGTTGATTCCTGATGTCATATACGGCGTTAGGCATTTTTTGATTGCTTGGAAGTATAACCGATATTGTGTACCTCGATTTACACCCGTACAGATGTAAACACTTGCACACGCATACACAGACAGATACAATCAATCAAAATTATCATGACCAAGATGAAAGTGAAATGAAGAAACGTTTTCTATGTTCATACATTTTCATTTTTAGTTCTGAGTATATAGAAGATGTAAAATAGAGCAGGACTTTGTGTTAACATGAGACTTTTACAAGAATAAGTTCCAGCTCCGATGATGTCCATCATATGACGGACGTAAGCTCGGCCCAATTTCACTCGAAACGAGTGAGGATGTCTCGTGAACTGCGTCACCCTAAACATCGTATTAAATCCAAACAACTGCAAAACAACGGGAATCGGTCGTCGTCTTCCGGTGAGATCAGCCAACGAAGCTCTTCATCATGCATTCTCATACATAGAAAAAGTCTCCACAACAACTTCGACACAGCTCATTAAATCTTGTGAAAGTTTAAGGTGATGAAGGACTGGTAGTAGAATTTTCCCACAATGATATGAGTAAAGCCTTGCTTTCCCAAAATGTGTTCTCATCCTGCTTTTTGGGAAAGCAATGCTATGTGAAATTCCATTGAAACGTCAGCTCTACTCAGATCATTGTGGGAAAATTCTACTACCAGTCCTTCATCACCTTAAGCGAAATAGGGTGGACACAACACATATTTCTGATTTACTCGTAGTCATGACAACCTATTAAATAACGAAAAAATGCTTAGCTAGTCCCTTAGCCCTGCAGTCACTTGAAATTGAGCGGGACCTAAAATCGTATGCGATGCGATGCTGAGTTTTTGAGCCCATATGATGTGGTCTTGAAGGCAAGCTATCTCCCACTTAAATCATATTTTATTGGCAAACATGTATTTGTGTTCACGATCGAAGAGACTACTTATTTTCTAGGTAAGTAGGTTTCGAAACTATCAGTAATTTAGCAGGCACCCTGTCACTTTGGGCCCAGTGCTTCAGTAAAAAGCGTGGATATATTTTGGAAACACACTCACACCGTCAATATGGGAACCGATTACGATGACAGCCCGTCTCGATTGATGAGAAAGTATTGTTGGCGTTGGAATCTTCCGCGACGTCTACATACTAGTATGAGGCTCTTTGGTGAAGCAGTTTTGGGTAGAACAGTTAGTTTCCAATGCCAACCATGCCTCGTCGTAACTATGTCTATTTAATCAGTTGACAACATGAGGAAGTTGTGTCTTCTTCCAAATGCATAGTTGACCAAATGTGCCCCCCCCTTCAGACGAAAACTTCTTGTTCCTCAGTTCAGCGAGCGTTTCGGGTGAATTATTTTTTTAGACTGTCTCCAAGTCGATCTGATCGTATTCTGAAGAAGACTAGCCTTTGCTACCATGTTGGATACAGCGACCGACCCAATCAGGGTTTTAACAAGTCTCAGCCCCATTTGGTCTCAACAACCAAACTGCTGCTGCTGCCGCGTAGGCGGTAAACACAACTAGCAGTATTTAAACGGCCTGGCGCTCCTCTGAGTCGGCGTTTCCGTTGCTCATTGTTGCCATGCCAGCGGCGCACATTCGCCCTGGTAGCTAAAATGAATAGGCCCAGGGATCTTCTTCTTAGCCCAACCAGCCGGGACGACAATAAATATTCGAATGAATGCAAAACTATTGATTCATGCTTGTCAGGAGGGCAGCAATGAGCATTGCTGACCGGACGACGGTTCTGGTTACCGCGTGTAAAAATCAATAAAATCAGATACAAGGACCGGGCTTAAGAGGTCCAGACTACTCTCCCACAAGACACAAGCGGCCGACGTCTTGTCAGCCCAGGCCAGGCCACAGAAAAATTTAGGTTGGATACGAGCGCCAAGTTTCTGACCCATCTCTCAGGCGGAGAGAGTGAGAGACGAAGCGATTAGCGGAACGGAGATCGTGGACCATAGTGCAATGTGGTCTGTCTTAGAAGTATGGCTTGTTGGGTCCCTTTGGGTTGGCTCACACAGCCACTTCGGCCCAGCGAGGCAAAACCGAGTTGTTCTCCAGGATCAGTAGGTGAAAATATATTATATATTCCTAGTAAGTAGTAAGTAGTAGTAAGTAGTAGTAAGAAGATCGTAAATAATAACTCACCTCAGCCTAGGTCGCACATGGTGATGAAGGGATGCGAGTCAAGTTTTCCCACAATTAGACGAGTGGGCTTCAGGATGCCGGTGAATTTTCCTTAGGTCTTTCTCTCAAAAGATATTTTGATTCAAAGTTTCTGCCTCGACTGGGTCTAGTCAGCATTCCCAACGGGCAACAAACCCTGGTGGTGCCGTGTATCGTATCGACATACTAGACCTACTCACAATGATTGTAAGCGACATGGTCGAATGTCATTGCAAAATGCAAATTTATGAGGTGTTCTCACTCTAATTCGTTTAAGGTAATGAAGGACTAGTAATTGAATTTTTAAACAATCGGATGAGTAGACCTCATGTTTCCATTGCAGTTCGCTTAGCTTTGCGTTCCAAAAGGTATCCTCATCCAGAATTGAATGCAGTTTCGTCCTCACTTGGGTCTCGTCAACACGCCCTGAAGGGCCCGAACCCGAGTCGTGGCGATACAGCATATAGACTCGAAACATTAACTACTGCACCACACTACCACGAGTGCCCTTGGCCTTTACCAAATCACTTTCTGTGGTGAGGTTGTCAAGGAAGCCAAGTTGTGTTTTATTTTATTTTAGTTTGCAAGTAGCCTTCAAGTCCACCATTTGATCGAACATATGAGATTTATTCATTCTATTTCGTTCAAAGTAATGAAGGGCTTGCAGACGAATTTTCCCAAAATGCTATGAGCGGACCTGGCGTGTCTCGAAAATTACGTCTGCCTTGTGACTTATTGGTCTTCATAGCGCAGGGATGACAAGTCGTGTTCGATTCCTGTCGATAGTGCTACTGAGACAATGGCGAGGCTGAAACTTCGGTCCAGTCCAACCGGGATGAGAATAGCCCAAGCAAAACAGGGCCAAGAGAAATTCAATGACATAGCGAGTCTTACTCGACGATCAGTCCTTAAATCACTTTACTCGACCTATGTTAACTAAGTTCTTAATTTTCCTTAAAATACACATCTGCCCTGTGCACCAAGGCCATTCATGGCAAGGTAGATTACTGATTAACGTGTCGAGATTACATGCTGCACTTCGATGTTTCTAGTCCTGCTGGGAGTGTCGAAAATGCCTATGCGAGGTCGAAACTGCAGTCCACCCTTGATGAGACTTCCCTCCGGGAAGCAAGGCTACGTGAAATACAATGTAACAAAGTTCTTATTGAGGAATTACCGATAACATATATAACTACTTATATCGAAAATAAGTAATATCTTTAAATGACATGGCAAATAATTGTTTGCCTTATCAACAGTCGCACTATAAAATGTGATTTATGCGCAACCTGTCCGTGTGTTGGAATGATGACGTAGCAATGATACACACAATCCGGTATTAAATCGCGTTGGATTTGCTGATGAGACCCAAACGTGTTTGAGTCGATCAGTCTTTGATTCGTTTAATATGACTAGAACTGTTATTCAGGCCGGAGCAGTCGGGAAGGTTACTCAAGCGCGGCACGCCACCGACTACAAAACACTCATTACACGTGTACCACAGCTTCGTTGTGCCCTTCCGGCCGGTGTGGCTGTGGGGTACCGTCCATTAGTCACTAGCCCTGGGAGGAGGAGGAGGGTGACTGGCGCGCTCGCCTCAGGCCGACACAAAATAAATAGGAATTTCGAATAGGAATTTGTGGTCAAGTCAAGGATACACGAAGGGTAACTCGGCTTTGATGACTTTCCTGAGATAACATTGTTGTCGGGCTCACTTCCATTTCGAGTAAGAGTATATGATTTAAAAGTACAAGAGTCGGTCCTTCGAGAGGATGACTCTTGGCCAGTTGTTGGTCATGATTACTGGAGCCTTCGGTTACGATGAAAACAGGCTAAGTGTATATGAAGAAAAACTGGGTTTCAAATAATCCCTTAGTGAGCTATTTTGACAGAACTTTTCATTTTGAGGTAAAAGATGGTTAGAAGGAATTAGTGAAATGGTCTCACTGGAAACCGAAATTGGATTGTCTTGGAGGATTTAAGATTTTGAGATCGTGCGACATAATCCTAGGCTCATCGCTTTGCGACTTCGATGCATCTGTGTTATGTTTTCGGCTGACAAGCCGTCGTAAGAACGAGAAGACAAATGATCAAATACATTAAAACAAGGAACTAAGGCTGGCCAGGAACAATCGTTTTCCTTTTTTATACCGAATTATTCTATCCCAATGAGGCATCCCAAACATCAACCTTCCCCATCTGCAGGAATGTATATTAGGCATGAAATAGCCAACCAAATCTTGGGGCTGCATGACGATGAACCAAGTAACTCTTCACTCCGAGGTAATT